CGCCGTCCCTGGGGGGCTGCGATCCGGGAAGCTGTCGCCACTTTCGAGCGCTGCGGGGGGGGCCAACACAGTGACGCCACACGCGGAATCAGATTAAACATCGCCAGCCCTGGGGGACTGCGATCTGCAAAACTCTTGCGATTTGCGAGGGCTGCTGGGGAGGGGGGGGGGGTGGGGCAGAACAGCGACGCCATCTACGGGGATTCAGATTCGACCTCGCCGTCCGTTGGGGGCTGCGATATGCGTGACTGTCGCCAATTTCGAAGGCTGCTGTGCGGGGCCAGCGCGGTGTCGCCATAAGCGGACGCAGATTCGACCTCGCCGTCCGTTGGGGGCTGCGATATGCGAAACTATCGCCACTATTTTCGAGGGCTTCTGGGAAGGCCAGCGCGGTGTCGCCATACGCGGACCAAATTCGACATCGCCATCCCCGGGGGGCTGCGATGTGCGAAACTGTCGCGTGTCCTTCTTCCCGCCTCCCTCCCGCCTCCCCCTGTGGGAGGGCTGTTGCGAAGCCGTCGCCACTTTCGAGCGCCGGTGGGGGGGGCCAACACCGTGTCGCCACACCCGGGCCAGATTAAACCTCGCCGTCCGTGGGGGGCTGCAGCCTGCAAAACTGTCGCCACTTTCGGCGGTTGCTGGGGGGGCTAGCGCAGTGTCGCCACACGCGGACCAAATTCGACCTCGCCATCCTTGGGGGGCCGCGATCTGCGAAACTGTCGCGGGGGGGGCCAGCACAATGACACTATATACGCGGCCTTGAATCAAACCTCGCCGTCCGTGGGGGGCTGCGGTCTGCGAAACTGTCGCCGGTTTCGCGGGCTGCTGGGGGGGCTAGCACAATGGCGTCTTGAACGGATTCAAATTACACCTCGCCGGCCTTGGGATGCTGCGATCTGCGGAACTGTCGCCGCCTTCGTGGGCTGTTTGGGAGGGGAGCACACTGACGCCACACGCGGACCTAAGATAAAACCTCGCCATCCCTGGATGGATGCGATCTGCGAAACTGTCGCCACTTTCGAGGGCTACTGGGAGGTGCCGCCATACCCGGACCACATTAGACATCGCCATCGCTGGGGAGCTGCATCTGGGGAGCTGCATCTGCGAAACGGTCGCCGCTGTCGAGGGCTGCACAGTGTCGCGATACGCGGACCCATATCAGACCTCGCCATCCTTGGGGGGTTGTGATCTACGAAACTGTCGCCACTTTCAAGGGCTGGTGGGGGGCCAGCACAGGGGCGTCCTACGCAGAATCAGATTCGACCTCGCCATCCTTGGCGGGCTGCGATATGCGTAACTGTCGCCACTTTCGAGCGCTGGTGGGGGGGCCAGCGCGGTGTCGCCATGCGCGGACGCAGGTTCGACCTCGCCATCCCTGGGTGGCTGCGATCTACCAAGCTGTCGCCACTTTCGAAGACTGCGGCGTCCAACGGGGCGACGTCCTTCGCGCAGATTCAGATTACACCTCGCCGTCCCTGGGGTGCTGTGATCTGTGGAGCTGCCCCCGCAATCGAAAGCTGCTGGAGGGTCCAGCATGGTGACGTCCTTCGCAGACTCAGATGAGACCACGCGGCGCGCCTGCGCGCCAATACATCGCGCGTTGGGAAATGCCGGGAAGAGGCCCATCAGCTGGCAGAGCCGCTCGGCCTCGCGCAGTTCTTGCTCTAGCTTTAACTGATTGGTGGCGCGCCTCGAAACATACTCTATCTCTCTTTCCGCTGCCTTTCTCTCGTCGTCGGTTCCGCCCTTCCTGTTGCCATGTCCTCTTGCTACTGCCCTTCTGATTTTGCAAGACCCCCGTGCACCTTCTCTTCATCGTCTTCGCCCCTCGTTACCTTCGAGCCAAGGGAAGAACTACACATCTCCATCAAACCTTTGATCATCGATCGGTGGGTGTCTTGCGAGCCGCACAGTTCGCGAGCCTCCCAAATAACGTTCGCAGAGCATAAACTCATTGCCGCGTTACCACCTCCTAAAAAGTCGCCCCCGCTATTTTGGCCACGCGTTGCGCACGGGTTGGATACAATAGTCATGGAAATGCTGCAGGGGGCTCTCGCCTGAATGAAAAGCCCATGTTACGACCGTTTTTCAAACATGCACTTCCAATGATGAAAACGAACGGCTGCAAGGACTTGTGAGGAGGGACTTGAGACAGAAGGGTGTGTTGCAGCATCGTTGATGCCCCTGGGTGTCTTCTGCTCCTCCGCCTCCTCCTCATCCTCCTCCTCCTCCTCCCTTTTTCTTCTTCTTCTTCTTCTTCCTCCTCACCCTCGTGATCTCCCCCCCCCCTCCCCCGCCCCGTCGTCGTCCTCCTCCCTCTTCCACTCCCCCTCTCTACTCCTCCTCCTCCGCCCTCGAGGGAGATGAGCAGGAGGAGGAGGAGGAGAAGGAGGAGGAAGAAGGGGGAGGCGAAGGAGGAGAAGGAAGAGGTGGAGGAGGAGGATTAGGAGGAGGAGGAGGAGGAGAAAGAGGAGGAGGAGGAGGAGGAGAAGGAGGAGGAGGAGGAGGTGGAAGAGGAGGAGGAGGAGGAGGAGGAGGCGGAGGAGGAGGAGGAGGAGGAGGCGAAGGAGGAGGAAGAGGAAGAGGAGGCGGAGGAGGAGGAGGAGGAAGAGGAAGAGGGAGGAAGACGGGAGGAAGGGGGAGTGAACAGGTGGTGGCACCGATGGTCCCCTAGACGGGAGGGGAGGGGAGGAAGGACGCGGCGATGGGGCAGGCGGAAGCGCCCGAAGAGAACGTGGGCCTCGGCGGCGCGAGAAGGCGGCGCGAGAAGGAGAAGGAGGAGGCGGAGGAGGAGGGCGAGGAGGAGGAGGGGGAGGGGGAGGAGGAGGGGGAGGAGGAGAAGGAGGAGGAGGAGGATGAGGAGGAGGAGGGAGGAGGGAGGAGGAGGAGGCGTAGCATCGAGGACAAGGGAGCCTCGTGCAGAGAACCAGACGAGCGGCGGAGGCAGGAGGGGCATAGGGGGGGATGAGCGGGGACGCAGAAGGGGAGGAGGGGAGAGGGGGGGGGCTGAGAGGGGCGACGAGGGGGAGAGGAGAGGGGGGGAGGCGAAGAGATGGGGGGCGCCCAGCAAGATGCTGAGGCGGCCGCGAGGGCGTGGGGTATCCCTGATCCTCGGATGGCGGCGGGCGGGGGGACAACGACCTCCTCCTCGCTCTCCTCCCCCTCCTCTTCTGTCTCCTTCCTCCTCCATTATCCTCCTCCTCCTCATCCCTGCTCCTTCCTCCTCGTCATCTTTCTCCTGCTCCTCCTCGATTTGCTATTGTTCCTCCTCATCCTCATCCTTCCTCTTCCTCTTCCTCGTTCTCCTCTTCCTCATCCTCCTCCTCTTCCTTTTCCGTCTGATGCTCCCCGCTCCTCTTGCGCTCTTCATCTCTCGCATCGCACCATGCCCACCGTCCGTAGAAACCATGGCGTGACGACGAGTTACTCGTTAGCTCTGTCTGCGTCATCGTTGTACAAACGAGGCGAGGGGTCACAGCAAAGCTCCCTGCCCGACGTGGCCCCCCTTGCTTAGCGGTCGACGAACAGTATACGTAGCATAAGCTGTTCTGTCGTCGGGAACGCCTGTCACAGGGCGGCTGGAAAAATCAGACCCCTACGGCGGAACTCGGGGGTACAAACCTTCAAGGCGTCCTGGGACAGACAAGCGTCCGCGGGGGAGGACAATTTCATGTTATACCGCTCCTCGTCCGCTAAATTACGAATCGAGATGCCCAAACAACGACGGCGCAGAAACAGAGCCTGCATGCGCTCGCCACTAGGCGTGGTGTCCACTGTCAGATGCTGACCCGCCGGTGCCGGCTCATACCGTACTGGGCCAGCAAGTAACGGCAGCCCCACCGCGGTGCCGCACCGTAGCGGCTCCGGCTACCGTAGATGCACACATGCACACGTGAAGGAACCTTGCTCGAAGAAGACCAGGGTCAGGTCGGGCATGTCCCCCTACAGGCGGATTTTGGGCGACAAATAAAATATCTCTCCCGAAGGGGGACATGCCCGACTGAAGACTAGGGGCACATGGCTCGGCCGACGGCAACCTTCGACCGCACAAGATGCCTCCAGAACTCTCGCGGGCGTCTGGGGACGTCGAGGGATGTGGAATTTCCACGGGGCGCCTGCCGGCCGGCGAACTTCTTACTTTTTGTGTGCCCATGCACCGTGCCGTACCCTCTACCGCACTGGCCGCGGCAGTCGTAATGCAGTGATGACGATCATCAGAGCTTGCACAGCTGAATCAACCAGCTACTACAGCATCGGGGTTACCGGAGGCATTGCTCGAGCGCCGCCTTACTGGTGCCAAGCGTACTTTTGTTTTGTCTCCCCCCCTCTCTCTCTTTCTCTCTCCCCCACATCTCTCTCTCTCTCTCTTTCTCTCTCTTTTGTTTTTCTCCATCTCTCTCTCTCTCTCTCCTTATCACTGCAAGCCTGTCTCATCGATGCTTCGACTAGGGGGCCCATGCCGCTACGAGAAGCCAGCCCTGGGGTGGCAATCTGAACCTCCTTGGCCACCCCAGGTTGCCGGTTGCCCCAAGGACGCCTCGAGACGGTCAAGATGGCCCAAGAACCGAGTGCTCTCGGTGAACAGCCGCGACTTTACTGAGCACACATATGTAGCTGATCTCATGATTTCTGAGTGCGCTGCACATACGGGGAAATCCGAATGAATAATACAGTGAAAGGGGAAGGAGAAACGGAAGAGAAGGGAGGTGCCGGAATAAGAAGTGCATCACACGGCCATGAAGAGGACGATTAGGCGGAGAACAGACTGATGGAATTATTGCGCACCGAAGCTGAAGAGGAAAGAGACACGACCGTGCCCCGTGTCGGGCGTCTCGGAACACCCTCGCACATGGTAAAAAACGACGGAATGCATCCTACTGGGCGCTTGCTTTCGGACGCGCGGTCCATCCTGGTAGCGCGGCTTCGGCAACATCTCCGACAGGTCCATGGCGTTTGCGGGCAACTTGATGGTCTGCAGCAGGTCGCTGCAGCTGTGGTGCTCACTGCCTCGATGGCTTGCGAGGTGACCTCGGGCGGCACGACTGGCCATCGACTCGCGCATCCAAAGTGCTGCTGCTGCTTCTGCTCCTTCTACTCCTCCTCCTCCTCCTCCTCCTTCTACTCCTCCTCCTCCTCCTCCTCCTCCTCCTCCTCCCTCCTCCCCCGTCACCTGATCACATCTAAAACAAATCCGCCCTACTGCAAGAATTCCGAGCACTCGTTGCGACACGGCAAAACCACGTGCAACTGCAAGGCGTCCCCGAATTAGGGGGACGTTCAGAAGGTCAAGGCTATGGGTTCTGGCTTCCATCTGCTATCATCGCTATGCACATCACTTGTTCAAGGTGTGGTCGGTGCAACGCTGGCTAATACTAGGGACTCTCGGGCCCAGAGACATTGCTTGTTACTGTCATGCTATAGCACCAGGTGCTCCGCACAGCACATCCTGACACTTCGAGGAGCACGCACAGCCGCCTCGGCAACTGAGTGCGTACAGGAGGAGCGAGCAGGAAACGCACCATATGACATCGGATCAGATCGGAGCTGCGGCTCAACACAAGCACACCATATCCGGACCAAACATACCATATCGGGACAGCGCCTTACTCGTCCTGCAGAAAGCACACAGGAGTCAGATTGTATAGCTCCTCGCTGTGTCGCAACAACTGTGTTGTCTGAGCATCGATGCTAATCGTCATGCCCGTCGTCGTCGTCCTCCTTCCCTTGCTGCTCCCCCTCTTCCCCATCCTCCTCATCAAACTCGTGCTCCCTCACAAGCGCCTGGCACGTGCTTCTTAAATACCGCCCTGGGTTTAATGTGCCTCCTCCCCTCATCCTCTTTCCCCCTATCACCTCCCTCCTGCCTCGCCCTTCCTCCTTCCCTCCCCCTCCTCCTCATCCTTCTCATTCCTTGCTCCTCCCACGCCTTCCTTCCTCCCCGCTGCCTCCCTCATTCCCTCCTCCTCACTCCCTCTTCATCCTCCTCCTCCTCCTCCTCCTCCTCCTCCTCCTCCCGTTCTCTCTCTTCATCGTCTTCCTCATCATCCGTCTGATCATCATCACCATCATCGGTATTCACCCTCATCAGCATCATCACCAGCATCACCATCACCATCACCATCACCATCACCATCATCATCATCATCATCATCAGCAGCAGCAGCAGCAGCATCCTCCTCATCATCATCATCATCAACGTCATCATCACCATCAACGCCATCATCTCCATCATCATCAGCATTAGCATCATTAGCATCACCATCATCATCGTCGTCATCGTCGTCATCATCATCATCAGCATCATCATCATCATCATCATCATCATCATCAACATCAGCATCAGCATCATCATCATCATCATCATCAGCATCAGCATCAGCATCAGTATCATCATCGCCAACATCGCCATGGTCACCATCGTCATCATCAGCAGCATCGTCATCATCATCATCATCATCATCATCATCATCACCATGTTCATCACCATCATCACCATCGTCGTCATCATCACCACCACAACCACCATCATCATCATCATCAGCATCATCATAATCATCATCGTCATCGTCGTTATCGTCATCAGCATCAGCATCAGCATCAGCATCAGCATCATCATCAGCAGCAGCATCAGCGTCAGCATCATCATCATCATCAGCATCATCATCACCCACCACTACCTCCTCGCCCTCCCTCCTCGCCCTCCCTCCATTCCACCCTCCCTCTCCTTCATTGAGTATGCTTGTTAAAATCTGGCTTCCCTTGCTGGCGGCGCTCTGGTTTCACTGTCCCTCTGCATCTGTTCATTGCATCACAATTGTGCACCTCGAAGCCTGCATCGGAAAACGGGCGATGTGCTGCCGTGCAGAGTACGGCGGGTTCGTGCCGTGGCGACTCGGGCGTTGGCCTGTGGCACCGCCTGGATCGTTCAACCTTGAACGACCGCAGCTTTCCGACACCGCGGATCGCTCGATGTCGACAGACTCTGGGCCGCCAGCGGCGTTCAAGCTTGAGTGAGCGCGTGGGGGGAGGGCAGAGAGGAAACCTACCGCAGGTGGAAGGGGAGGGCAGAGAGGACGAGTGATCGTACGGGTTTGGCGGAGGGTGGCAAACCAGCAATAGTTTCTCCCGCGGCTGCGAGGCTGTCTCCCGTCGCTTCAGCACGGCGGCCCTGGGCACTGAGAAACGGATGACATCTGGCCTGCTCCGGGACCCCTGCTCTGGGAACCCTGCCTTGTGGACTTCGCGGCCCCCATACGCAACACGCAGCACGCAGCGTGTGCGGACACAGAGCTCAGCACGGAGATTGAAGACGCAGGTCTGGCCGATACGTCCGCCAAGACGTGCACCAACACGCGCCGAACAAACACGCAGCGTGTCAACACGGACGTTCTGAACACTCCCGTACGTAGACAAAATGTTGCACCACTCTCGAGGGGGGCCCGAATGGGTTCTTGAACACCCCGTCCCCTTCCCCCCCCCCTCCCCCCATCTAATGTTGGGGGCATGCGATGAGGAGCCGCTCGGGGCTTCTCAGGCGATCGACAAAATGTTGCACCACCGAGCTGTTTCGGCGACCCCCGGACCGTAGCCAATATTAGATGGGGGGTGGGAGGGGGGATGCGATAGAAATGTCGATTTGAACGCGATGTCCGCTGTCCTCGGCACCGAATGGTGCAACATGTTGTCCATGTACCGTACGTGTTGCGTCCACGAGCGGGCGTTCCGGGGCAGATGAGCTTGCGGATGGGGTCCCGGAGCCCTGCCTCCGCTGGCGTAGCCGCCCAGCGCTTTTTGCTTCCGCCGCCCCTTCCCGGTCGCTGAGGAGATACCTTCTCGTCGATTCCCTCGAGGCGAGGCCCCTTCCCGAGCCGAGACGAAGCCAGGACGAGAACAACATCGGGTGAGGATGCAGCAGGTGCCCGACCACAAGAAACCTTCCACAAGAAGCCCAACCCTGAGACCCCAGGACATCCATTGATTTTTGGTATGGGAACGTCGCGCTTTCCGTGGCAATACCATCGCAGCCCAAGAAATCCAGGGCACCCTGGAGGCAAGCAGGGTGTTTCTTGGCATGTGTCTCTACTGTACCTTCTTTTCGATTTCCTCGATTTCCCGAGCTGCGACGAAGCCAGGACGAAGATAACATCGGGTGAGGTAAATCGAGAATCTCCGAAATCCGGCGGTTCTGGAGGTTGTCTCGGGCGCTGCCGTCTTTTCCGAGCGCTCTGGAACGCACCGGGAGCGTTTCGGAACGCTCTGGAACGGACTCATCTTCGTCTTGGCCTGATCCGATGAGCACCCCATGTGCACCGAGACTCTGAAGAGAGAGAGAGAGGGAGAGAGAGAGAGAGAGAGAGAACAAATACAAGAGCAGCTGCAGATGGCAAATGGGCCTGTGACGTGTCGCTGCAGCACCGGCAGCTGGAGTTTGTTTATAGCAACCGCGAGACGCTTCCTGCCTCATACCTCGCCCGCGCCCCTCCCCCCTCCCCCGCGCCACCGCTCGGACGTCCATTCCCCGTGCGCTCTTCGGCTTCGTGCGTGTTCTCTTCGCAAGATGACCCAAAATGTTACTCCGAATTTCTGATTAATCAGCCGGGGGGTGACAAACGTGAAAACGCGGCGCGGCCAACACCCCCTGGTACCACCCCCGCGCCCCAGCGGGGAAGGGAACGAATCTCAGACCCCCCCTGGCACCCCCGCGGACGCGCCGCGGCCAACCCCCCCGGGCACTCCAGGGGGGGGGCGATTATTAAGCGATCCAGAGTACTCGATGGTCCTCGCCGGAAAAAAAAATGCAACACGTCCGAGCGATGCCGCCCCGCCCTCCCTTCTCGTCCTGCTCCTCCGCGTCTCCCCCCCTCGCAGGCTCCCCTCGCGCACCGCGAAACGCGCCCATGGGGCCCGTGTGTCTCCGGAGGCCTGTGGAGGCGCTCGGCCCGAAAGCGCTCCAAGAACCTCGATGCTCAAAAAATCTTCGATGGCAACGTACGGGAGCCTCCCATCTACCATCTTGTCGGCTCCTGCGAATCGACGCCAATCGACGCCAAATCGACGCTACATCGACGCCAGCCGACGCCAAATCGGCGCTGTCTCGTCGACTCCCAGGCGCTGATCGATGCTAAAGACGGAATTAATGATTCCTCCTCCTCCTCCTCCTCTTACTCCTTCTCGATCCTCGAGAAGGAGGAGGAGGACGAGGATGAGGAGGAGGAGGGTATAGCAGGCTCCCATGAAATTCGACCACATGAAACCTTCCATAAGAAACCCAACCCTGAGACCCCAGGACGTCCATCGATCTTTGGCGTGGGAATGTCGCGCTCTCCATCGCAAAGCCATCGAAGCCCAAGAAACACAGGGCACACTGGAGGCAGGCAGGGTGTTTCTTGGCATGGGCCTCCACTGCATCTCGACGGTGACAGGGTCAACCTGAGCCTCGACTCGAACTGTGCGTCGGATCGGGCTGCGCTAGCGAAGGCCGAGCCAATAACGGCGATGTTGCTTTACGGTGATGTTGGGAACCAGATTGTGGGGAGTCACGGGCAAGACTTACCCACATTTCCAGTCTGCGACTGGATCGAGCGAACACGACACAGCGAACTGTAGCACAGCGCGAGCCACGTCGGATCGGATGGCGCCGCCGTATAGTCGGTAGCGAGCCCGATCGATGGGATCGAGGTGGGCCCTCTGCGGGGGCGCGCGCTCTGGGCACGCGCACGTGCGCTCCTCCCGAAGGCAAGCTCGACGGAGGCCACCGCGAGTCGGCGGAGGCAGAAGAGATCTGAGGTCGGGCATGTCCCCCTACAGGCGGATTGGGGACGAAACATCAAACATACAAAAAAAATTCAAACATCTGAATAAGGTTAGGTCGGGCATGTCCCCCTACACGCGGATTTTGAACGAAAAATCAAACATTCACAAAACATACTCAAACATAGAGCATAGTCAAATGAATAATCGAAACATCGCCCCCTGCCTATCTTTTGACTATTTTTGCACATTCCTCCCGCAGAGGGACATGCCCGACTTAAGAACAAGGACCGCAGGGGCTCTTTCTGGCAACGGCACGCCTCGGCCATGAAGAGGAGGGGGGGAGGATGAAAACGATGTCAAATGGGAAGGAGGAGGAGGCAGGAGGGAGGAGGAGGCAGGAGGAGGAGGAGGAGAAGGAGGAGGAGGAGGAGGAGGAGGAGGAGGAGGAGGAGGAGGAGTCTGAGACTCCCCGACCCAGATCTGCGGCGCTCCCCGACCTCGACCTGCGGCTCCCCGTCCCAGATCTGAGGCTCCGGGGCTCCTCGGCCTCGACCCGAGGCTCCGCCGACCCCCATCCGAGGCTCCCCGCCCGACCCGGGCCTGAGCTGCCTGCCCGCTGGCAGGGCCGCCGCCCCTCCAGGGAGGACCCCCGGGCACCGATATGACTGCCGCTGCTCCCCGGTCTCTCTCTCTCCCGGGGGGGGGGGTGCGCGACGGGGGCCTCCCGGGAGGCGGCGTGGGCACCCGTCGGTCGGAAGAAGCGGGTAGAAGCAGGAAGTAGGAGGGCACTGGAAGTAGATCGGGCTCCCGCCCGCCCCCCGAAGAGGAGGGAGGAGGGAGGACCACTCGACTCTTGAAGTAGGAGGGCGGCTCAAGCGGATGGGGATCAGGGAATCCAGAAATACCTACTTCCAACGGCCGGCGTGTACCTTTTCCTTCGAGTGGGGATCGACTACAGAATTGATTTACCCCCACATGGTTTATTCGTCGAATCCATAAACAATGCAACGTGTTTCTTTGTAACTCTGACGAGTAGATATACTCTAGGATTCATCGATTATGCAGTCGATCCCCTACTCGAGAAATACTGCCGTGCCGACTCCGCGCCCCACGCTCACATACACACACACAAACACACACACACACACATACAACACACGCACGCACGTACGCACGTACGCACGTACGCACGACCGCACGCACGCACGAACGCACGCACGCACGCACGCACGCACGCACGCGCGCACACGCGCACACGCGCACACGCGCACACACGCACACGCGCACACGCGCACACACGCGCGCACGCGCACACGCGCGCACGCACTCGCGCGCACGCGCACACACGCACACATGCGCGCACGCGCACGCGCACGCGCACGCGCACGCGCACGCGCTCGCGCACGCGCACGCGCACGCGCACGCGCACGCACACGCACACGCACCCGCACCGGCACCGGCACCGGCACCGGCACCGCACGCGCACGCGCAAGCGCACCCGCAAACGCACACGCACACGCAAACGCACACGCGCACGCACGCGCACGCGCACGCGCACGCGTTCGCGCTCGCGCGGGCGCACGCGCGCGCGCACGCGCACGCGCTCGCGCACACGCACACGCACACGCACGCGCACGCGCGCACGCGCACGCGCACACGCACACGCACACACGCACACGCACACGCGCACGCACACGCACACACACGCGCGTACACGCACACGCGCACGCGCACGCACACGCACACGCACACGCACACGCACACGCGCACACGCGCACACGCAGCACACGCCACGGCACACGCACACGCACACGCACACGCACGCACACGCACACGCACACGCACACGCACACGCACACGCGCACGCACGCACACGCACACGCACACGCACACGCACACGCACACGCACACGCACACGCACACGCACACGCACACGCACACACGCACGCACACGCACACGCACACGCACACGCACGCTCACATGCACACGCACACGCACACGCGCACACGCACACGCACACGCACACGCACACGCACACGCACACGCACACGCGCACACGCACACACGCACACGCACACGCGCACACGCACACGCACACGCACACGCACACGCACACGCACACACACACAAACGCGCGCACACTCACACACACACGCACACACACACACACGCGCACACACTCACACACACGCACACTCGCACACACACACACACATACGCACACACACACACACACACGCACACGCACACGCACACACGCACACACAAACACAAGTACACACCCGCACACACACAAACACACACAAACACACACACACACAAACACACACACACACAACGCGCGCTGCCCAAAACAACCAAGACATCCGAGGGCAGCCTCCTCCAATATGTACAATAACATCCAACAAACACGAATATTCCAGTGGGCTGCCCCCCCCCCCCCCGGGTGGTCCAGTGCGCCCGCGCGGACCTCTGGGCAACGCACTCGGTGCGGCCAACCTGGGGCGCTCGAGAGACCCTCGCAGAAAACTCGAGACCCCGCTGGCCGACGCGCCAGACCCACCAGGGAGGGAGGGCGGGGACGCTAGCGACGCCAGCAACAAGCCCACGGCTCTGCAAACGGCAAGCCCTCGTCGCAGCCCTTGATCCACTGCGCGCGCGCCAGGAAGTCGCCACCTGGCGGCCTTCACTCCGTGAGCTGTTCTGGCAGCCACGACCTCTCTAGCAGAGTCCTGATCGTGATGGAGTCGCCCTTGTCCTTGAAGCGCTCCAGCCCCTCTGGAAGGGCCAAGGACGGCCAAGCGCCTTGACGCTCCATGTGCCTATGCCAAAGCGCCCCCGACTTGCTGGGACACAGCGAGCAGACCGAGTAAGAGCTGAGGCCTGCCGCACAGCGCCGCTCGTTGAGCCACTGACCGTCGACCAGGCATGATCTGGCATACCCAGCTTCACTGGGCACCAACGTCCTCCAAGCCTTAGCGATCTTGGCGGAGCCTCAGCCCGACGTGACCCACCGCCTGACCTGCGACCGGAAGACGCCGCCAACACCGTAGATGTCGTAGTGCGTGCTCTTGGCCAGCTGGGCCAACTGCCACCGCTCGACGCCCCGCGTGGCAATCTGCTTGGCCGTCCAGGGGAGTGCACTGCCAAGTTGAGCTTCTCGCCCGCGTCGGAGACCCAAGCAGTAAAGAAGCTGAGTGTGAACCCGATCCTCAGCAAGGACATCACTGCTGCCCCGAGCGGGCCACGCACGTCGCCCCAATGCTTGGCGATCTTCACGTTCCACTCGAAAATTGGCTGCAACGTGGACGTCGGAACCCACTTCTCCCATGCAGCCTTGGCCAGCACCATGACAGGCCCCAGCGTGGCAGTGAAGATGGGGTCCAAATTCTTGGCCCCCGAGAGCATCAGCACTGCGGTGGCATTCTTGCCTGCTGGCCGTGGCTCCACGGCTCTGACCGCGATGGAACGCATCATGGACAACCCGCTGGAGTTGAGGCCAGCGCGGTTGACGCCGTACATCGCCGAGGGGTGGAGGCCTGTGAACGCAACCTTGGCTGCAGCAGTGCGCCCGCGCCTTAGACCCAAAAAGCTCCGCACCTTGCCCAGGCGAAGCTCGACGTTGTCTAGACGTCGCTGCCGAAGGGCCTGGGCAGCACGCTGCCCC